CAAAAAAAAGTGGTGCTGATACTGGCAGCACCAGTGGGACTGCTAGTGACATTCAGGGAAAAGGGGCTGCAACTCTTCCTTCTGGCACAGGCTCTGATTGTTCTACAGGGGCAGCAGGTTATCATTTCAGTAAATAATTTCATAGCATTAGATACCTTATAGTAAGGTTTGCACCTGCATACATCTTGTGCCTTTCCATAGCTTTTAATCAAGACAAACTCAAAACAGTTAATATAAACCTTAAAATTAAGGCAACTATTTCCTGGTCACTAAGCTGACCTCCCTGATGTACTACTGTACCAACATGCTACTTCAGTAATCAAGTATGTAATTCCTTTATCACCAATTCAGTTAATTCTGCCTTACCCTTTTTATTCTGCAATGTGATGAACTTGAAATATTTGGTCATTCATTCAGTAAGGACAAAAGTAAGTCTAATTACGAGGGAAATGACTGCGGCTAGCTTTGCTGTTACATCCATAGCAGAAGTTCACTATCAAGCTCTGTATTATGAATACTCCTTGTAACAAAGAAGTTTCTTCTTGTCTTCCTTCTGCATTCAATGCCAGGTTTCCACTCTGGCAAGATTACCTTAAAATCGTTGAAGTCTTTGGCAAAGCTTTTAAGTGTATGTAGACTTAGTTTTAAGTGCATGCCATAGGCTTGATTAAGTATCACCATTGGTAATCCAATGCCAAGATATAAAAGCACCTACCAAATTGAATGCTGGATCTCATTTTTCTTAAATTCTGTAGCCTGTTTCTCACTTAGATCTTCCCCCAAATTCTAAGCCCTAAAGCTGAAAGGAAGAAGGGTGAAAAGTCAGTTTTTCTGGGAATACATTGCTTGTTTTTAATATAATTTAGAAATTGATACATTAACTAACATGTTTTAAACTTGCACTCATCTTCACAGGCTGTAACTTATATATACTGTTTTCACAACTTATCTACTGTGCTCAGCAACTATTGTATAAAGTGAACAAGTGCGGCAGAACACTGTAAAAACAAGGTACATTAGCTGAATATTTAAATAACGGGGGTTTTGTTCAATTATTCTTAAAGAAAATTTAATATGCATTCAACAGCCAAGAAAAAAATAGTACGAGCAGTCACTAATACAGTAATACAGTTTATTTCCTTAGGAATCTCTTTTTTCAGTTGTCTGGCTAATTGCTATTAAAGTCAATAAAAAGGGCCCATAGAACATGGCAATAGTTAGCATTAAGATAACAAGCAGAGAATTGCAGGCTCCTCTAGTGGGAATGATTTCCTGCAACAGGTACGTTATGCACAAAAAGAATGTGGTGTTTAACTGTATTGAAGAGAACTTATTTTCAGGTTTTATCCAAGTTTTTCCAGTCTACTCAAATAATGTGAGTAAAGCTGAAGTGATCCCACCAGTTTGTGTATCTGTCCAATTCCCTTTTCCCCAGGCTTTACTTATCCTGAGAGCTCCTGCCTGCCATCACATCCTTATACTACTTTGAGAATAGCAACAACAATCAGCAAATTTTGTCATGCTAAGAGAAGTAACAGACTCCTGAATACAGAGAAATGCAGCAGCATTTATGTTTTACAGACACTATTAAACCTGGGACTCTCCCCACTACTCCCAGTTTTTATTTCAGTTGTCCCCAGCTGAGCAGAAGTCTTATCCCTCATGTCTGTCACCCATCCATCTGGCTGCCCCCCACCCTCCCAAATAAACTCAGAACAGACATACAGGACATGAGGTCAGAAACACAAAAGAACACCAACAAAATAGAGCCGGTTGTTGCAGACAATGAAAACACATGACACTCCTGGTTCAACAGTGGTCTGTAGTGGTACCAAACACTAGCATTTGTAATTCAAAACCAGATGAAGGTACTAGAGGTTCTAAGTGCTCCTGACAAAGTTATTCACAAAGAGCAAGCCACAATGCAAAAAAACCAAACCTCAAACCCCAAGATGTACACACAAAGCCCAGTACAGACTCCTAACAAAAAGCAGAACACTTAATTTCCTCATATACAAGTGTAACATCTTTTACTGCTTATCATGAGATACAGAATGGATCATCTGGTGAGGTCCAATTATGTAACACAAGCCATAGTTATTCCCTGTCAGCAACACTGACAGATACCAAACCTGCCTGACTGGCGGCCTCCCCAGGCCGAGGGAACAGTCGGACATTTCGCATTCGTCTCCACTCTTCTACTGTCACTTTGTCAATGCCGGAAATGAGGAGCAATAGGCAGTTAGGTGCTGCATAATAAGCTTCCAAGGGAAACTTCGTGTACATTGTCACAGGGCAGATTAGAGCCATTTCAGAATCAGCATTAGTGAATTAACAACTGACAAAGCCTAAAATTTGTTCTTGTCGTTCTAAGCATAAATTGTGTTTTCTACTCTCTTCCCCAGGTTGACATGGTGGCAATTCTAGTTGCACAGCAGCATGTGAAACTGTTTCTCTTTCTTCACTTTCAGTCTCCTTTATTATTCTGGCAGTAACAAACTAGGACAATTGCACTTTATGTACAGAGATTCTGTTTTGGAGCTGTTCTCTGCATCTTACACGGTAAGAACTGTTACTACGTGAAGTCACTGACAGACAGCTGTATGTTCTAAAACTTTCACAGCAATTTGAAATGATCTGTAAGTGTTTCAAGTTTAATTAAGGTAACTAGGATAGCACCATTGCTTCCCACCAAAACATCCTTTAATCTTTGTCAAAACTGGGTTTTCAAGCCAAATTCAGTGATAGCATAATTATTGTCACTAAATGACAACTGTTTGGCATAGAGCCGAGTAGTCCACAAGTATTCAAGTTAACAGAAGAATCTAATAAATAATATTCACATCTACATGTGTTTGTGTGTGCACGAACAGCCTGCTTCATACACTTTCACTAATATTAAGTGCATTTATTCTCAGATGCTTGCTCACAGGGTCATAATGCATGGTTCATTCAGCTATAATGAAAAATAATTTTAGCCATTCGTTTGATCTTCCCAATGGATGGAGCTACTTACCAGAGAACCCCACACATACCAGACCACCACTAGCACTCAGTGAGGCTTCTACAAATGCTTTCCTCACAAGTGACTTATGTACTAAGAAAACATTTTTCACAAGTGCTTAACATCTTTTATTCTCCAAACCTGTGTGGCTTTCATTTCTGTCATCTGGTCAAGGTTACATTACAGCAACGAATCCTCAACCAGACCCCAACCTAAACATTGGTGATTTGCTTCACCTAACCCAGGTTGGAAGGAACAGAAAAGTACTTTTACAACCATAACTTGTTTGTGTATGTGTAGTTGAATATTCATTACTACTTTTCTTGAAAAAAAAAATTAAAATACAGAGATTTTTACCAAGAATTTAAGTCAGAGAGATGAACATTAGTTCTGTATCCATGGGGTATGTTTCCACCATTGAAGCCATTTGTGTAGAAACAAGCACAAGACTTGAAATTTACATTATTAAAACCTCTGTACAATTTGCAGGGTTAAAGCTGGCTGGTACATCACTGATACAAATAGGAAAAATTAGGAGATACAGTTTTTGAAGTTCACATTAAATAGAGAACTACAGTAAATTAAAATATTACATGTGAACTTACCTCCTCCAGAGCCTAGCCTATATAAAATATGTAAGGAAGATAGTCTCTTGCAAGGGTAAAGACTTCAAAGACACTAGTATTTTAAAATAAGAAAATGTGTTATTTTAGCACAGTTAATCTCAATGGCCCTGTTTTAACCCAAAAGCACTGGGATTTAACAAAGAAAACATGTATGTGGTTTAAATTAGCCACTTTGATAAATGTTCCTACAGGCAGACAGCAAGACAATTCCATTGACAGGCTGCTTAGCAGTAGAGCATTGCCACATTTTTGAAGAGCATCAACTTTCTAATTTCATTTATGAAATGACTGCAGAGCAAGAACTGTCACTTTTTTGTTTGGGTTTTGTTGTTTTTCGGTTGGGGTTTTTTTTTCATTTTGATAGAAAGACATGGCCCTAGACTCTTTAAAAGGACAGAAAGATGTTGTCATCTGGATCACTACAGTAAAAACAACTCAGGACAGTTCCACCTTACAGCATGCTAGACTCAGGATGTCCAAGACACGAATGACACCACTGCAAATAGTCCGTGCAGTGTAACTCCAGGGTTCCTCAAATCCAACTGACTGACTCCTTTTGTAATGTCTCACATACTTCTTACTAAGATTCAAACTAGAAAAGAACACTTAGAAATTTTAGCATTAGAATTTTCTCCAAGATGCTTTGCGTGCCATTTTGAAACCTTCCTTTCTGCTGATTCAAAAAAATACCATCAATATATTACAACTGAGACAAATGAAAAATGCCACCCCAACATCAACAGGTTTTTTTTGCTATTCAAATTTTCTGCCTGCTCTTAAGAGTTGAGGTAAGCCATAAGAAGTAGTAGTTAATAGTAGTGAATGCATCTTGTAGGGTAAGTCATGCCTGAGAAACAAACTAACTGGTCAGTAAAAGTACAGAAAGGGAACATCAGGGTTATGCACTGGTTCCCAGTATTACTTGAAAATAACTTATTCTAGAAGTTATTTGATTTATATAAGCTCACTAGTTAACCATCAAGTACTCCAAACAGGCCTGATAATGGGATTCTGTAAGAATATCTTTAGAATTGTGTAACTAGACTATGTGTAAATCTACATGCTAGAACGCTACCGAAGTATTTGGAAGAGCAGGTATAGTAAGTAAACTAGCACCAACATGGTTATTCAAGGGACGAGTCTACCACTCCTACTTGTACTGAGTACTTCCAATGGATCCACAGTGGAGTTCATTTCAGAAGCCCTGTCGTAGACCACTCCAACTGACTCTGCAAAAGAGTTCTGCTTCATGTATGAACATCCGGCAGAATCCAGCTGTCCACTTACACAGGAAAAAAAAAAAAAATCGAAATTGATTTTGTCATGTTCACATAAATGCATTTCAGAAACAATAAGGTACTACAATCTCCTTTATTATTTTAAAAACAGTTTTATTCTGTATATTTAGAAACGTGTAATTTTAATAACTGCAGAGAAAAAATCAGCCACACCTGAATAGCTAATAACTCATTAACAGAATGCAGTGGTATATTATCTAAACAGTAGTAGTGCCATTGTGCCGTAATAAATTGTCTATTAGTAAAAAAATACATTTCAGGGCACATAGTACAGCATCCTTATGACAAATTACAGTAGGGATACTTTTCAAGAATTTAATCAAAGTAGAGAATTCCGAGTTATATTCTTTAAACGCAGCACTTAAAAAGGTAACAACTTTGTGCATTTTTAAAAAATGTCCTTGTTCATATATTGTAGAAATGCTGCTTTATTGCTGCAGATGTCAAAGTTCAAGGCTCAAAAGGTATGAGAATACAAAGATATCCTTAAGAAACTTTGTTTGTTTTTATATATATTTATATATATAAAAAGGTAAAGCTTATAAAAGTTAATTTACAAACCAAGAACAAAAGTGGTATGCACGCATTATATACAAGCAGTCTATAACATCTAGAAGTTTTCAAATGCATAGCAGAAAACATACCATCATTTTCTTCCGGTTCTCTTCTGGCTGATGAAGACAAACAATACTCATTCTCTAAACCAACTCACAAGTTTGTTGTTCCCCCCCCTTTCCCCAGTCTCTCGTGATGTATTATCTAGGTAAGCACAAAAGCCATACAAACTTACAGAGAACTATGAGAACTAAGACTATTAAAAACATGAGGGTAAGGCATCCCCTGCTGGTTAATAGGTCTGTAATGATGTGGTTAATTTACAAATCCACAGAGGCAACTGAACCATAGTCATCCCACATGCTTTTCCCCCTCCCCCCTGTTCTCATGACAATGCTTCCATATACAGTAAGTAGCTGTGTTTGCATTAGCCTCTCAGCAGAGGAAAACATCTAAACTGTGCTACCCCAAGTTGATTACCATTTCATTGGACATGTACACCAAAAGTCATTTAAAAAATAGAGACCAAAACGTAGTCTTGTGAGTTACAAACACACAGCAATAAAAATGCAGGCCAAATTCTGTGTTTTCGCCAGTGGAGTATGAACGAAATTCAGTTCCTCTGAATGTAATTCCATTGGTACTTTCAGATTTTAAACTAGTAGTGTCCTTTAAAAAAAAAAAAGGAAACAAAAAGCCACAAAAGAACAACCAACAAACCAAAGCATACAGAACCTGCAAAAACACTACCTTGTTCCCACTGTACACTCCCTGCTTGTGGCATGTATTGTGACCATGGTTCAAAGAGTGTACTTGCTAAACCAGTGTTAGTTAAAGCAAGATGCTTAAACACTAAGATCCATTATCACTTATAGAACAGTTAATACTTGATAGAGTGGTTCAGTTTATATGTAAGGTCCATCTCAGTTTCACATTATTTACTCAGTCAGCTAACTTAATATTTAGAAGTGGTCAATTAGGACTGAGACACAGTTTGCTCCAACAAGATAGTTTGGATCCCCGGGAAGAGACTTGTTCTGCCAGGTTTTGGGGTCACCTGTGGGAGGAAAACACAATGCTGGTGTTTAGTATCCGCTGTCAAACAGTGTACATCTTGAAACAACCAAGCTTTTGGACAGGAGCTTTTAAGTTCTGAATCAACACCTGGGTTTGATGTTTGTTTTGTTCTTTTTTTTTAAACCCCACAGTTTGTATCTTACTAATAAAAAAACCAAACCCTTATTCTCATATAAGGTAGGATAGATCAGTTATTTAAAAATTACTGAGTGCAACAGCATCTGTTTTGAATAAGTCATTCTACTCTACAGCACCAACATAGTGCTTTCCATTTGAAATGTGTTAACAGTGAATCAGGTATTCACTGGCTTTCCTAAATTGCCAGAAAAAAGATGACATTTTAAAAGCTAATCTGGGTAAGATGCATTTGAAGTTTCTTGGAACAGTTCTGAACACAGATGAGTCAAATCAGAAGTTATGTTGTAACTAAAGACTGTGACACACTGGTAGTTTTATTTTCTATCATAGAAATTATTGCAGACAGGATTGTAGTCATTTTGCAGCTACATCCAGTACACTCGTTTAAAAGCCTGAAATGCTGACATTCTAAAAGGGATTCTAGATAACTGATGCAGACTTAGAAATCTTTACAACAGATCTTATCTACTCATGATCAAAGATCCTGTGTAACATTCTGTTACAAGGGAAAGTCATCAGCTGCCATCTCACCAGACAAAGGTTACATTCCATCTGCACAGTCAATTGCCTCTTTCAAGTGGAGAAAATATTCTTCATTTGCCCACCTAAAACCACTACTAAATGCTGCCACTATACAGAAAATGTCATCATCCCACTGCAGCAGAAAGTGAAAAATGCACTGAAGTTCCCTTAAGCCTTCCAGAAAAATGACATTAAATAGCTTGGCCAAAACAGATCTGCCTTGAGAAATGCACAAGTCAGAGAACCGAGTCACACAGATCGCAAACACCTGAGATCTCTGTATTAAATGAGACTAATGTAAATTCCACAAAATTTTCTTGAAGAACTCATGAAAACAAAATGAAGTACACGATGCACTGAGTGATGGCAACATCTGACACAGGGACAAAGAATAGTAGTGGCCTGTGTAGAGTTAGAGAATGCAAAGAAGTTTACTTCAACCAGCCGAGACTACTTATTTCAGTCAAGAAGCTAAATAATGCTGGAGGATTTTTCATTTTACAGATGCAGGGAATTCCATTCAAAACTCACATGATCAAGTATATAAGGAGAAGGGTAAAATAGGACTGTAGGACAACCAGGTCCTAGTCTTGCACATGAGACAATGGCAAACTTTTTTTCCAACCTTTCCTCCTACATACACAGTAAGGATTAGACTGTAGCCAGTGCAACCTCTAGCTCTTGAGGATGTTTTTCCCATACTTACATACAACTGCTTTGAAAAAAAAAAATGAAATCAAACTACTATGATCCTTCAGTATTTTTTACTAATACCTTCTAACAGGTATTTTTTACTAATACATTCTAACAGGTGTAGCCATAAAAGCCAACTTTTTTCCCCAGTCAGTTTTAATACCAGAATCATTCAAGCTTTTGAAGGGGTTTAACAGTAAAATATCAATATATGAGGCTTAAATATGGCAGACAGGATGTTAGTAAGTGCAAATGAATGTCACTTTTAGGACAGAACATGGGATACATTGAGAAAAGATGAGGTAGAGCAGACGACTGAAGAGAGAAAGAAAAAAAATCCAGAGTTGTATAAAGTGTTACTATAAAGCCAGCTCAAAAATCAGAGTCCCATAACCATCTAATTTAGAAAAAGAGAAAACAATTATTTATTTAAGACACAGTATGGTCTACTTACATATCATAAGACAGAATTGCCTAATTTTAAAGTTTGTCTCAAAAGAGCAATGTTATGATATACATCCCATTTCAGATTAACAGAATGTGGTGTTATATTTACAGTACAGAAAGTGTTAGGGTTTAAATATACACGCTCTTGCTCTCACCCACACATGCACGCACACACACATCCCACTTTGGAAAGGGAGGAAAACGTGTCAGTAACTTCAGTTATTGTTTAGGTAATTTGAGTCCTCTCCCTTCACTTCAAGGAAGTTCATGAACAGGTGCTATTAGTTACAAAGGAAGTGTTGTGTCATTTTTGTACATAGTTGTCATATCTTTTGGGACCCTATCATTTATGAGTCCATGTTTTAACACTGCCAGATATACACACATTGTTAAATAGATGCATGCAACACATGCATATAATAGTTTATAAAAAACAACTAAAAATTATTGCCATTAATACCTCTAGGTTATTCAGTCCCCATCAAGGGGATTGATGCTTTAATCTTTCAAAGCATCAGTGCTTTGGTGTTGACAGTGATAGATACATTAGTGACAGAAGATATGCATACATGGTGGCTTAAATGCCATATACAGAACTACATCATTCAGTCATTACTTAGATCATACGTACACATTAATGGTTTGAACCTTCTACCACAAATTTTGAAGGTAGCTGAATAAAGCCTTAAGACTTTCCCCAGATGTGCAAACATTCCTTTTTAAATCTCTGTAACCTCACAGCCATTTCATGAAATTGCTTGAAGTTTGCCCAGAATTCTCTCAGTCAGTCTCCTCACTGACAATTTCATCCAATACATTCTCTCCATCATCCCAGAGAGCCACAGTGAGGTAAAAATGAACAGGTAAATAAAATTGCAACCTAGTTGCAACTTTTCCTATCAACCGGAAACTTCTGGGTAAAAGGCAGTAGAGAACAAATAGGCAGAAACAAGCAAGAAAAGTCTTGTGGAAAATCCAGCTACATTAGAACCAATTGTAAATGCTTTTACTGAACACTATAGTTTTTTTAAATGATCCAATTGTTAGCATCAACTTGCACACATGGAAACAGTTAACAAGCGTTAAATCATGATTTATGAGCATGCAGATTGTTAAGATTTGCCAGAGTCCTATATGGTTAATTAAGCAACAAACACCAATTAATTACAAAGGCCAGAGGTACATAATCATTTCCTCTCAATTTTAGTGCGACTATCATTTCAAGTGTATTCAGCTGTAGCAGTCCTCAAGAAAGAAGACAAAATAGAAAAATTCGATATTTAATAGACTAGAGATAATACTCTTTTTTCTGCTATCATGGTTTTAGCTATGAATTTGCACCATGAGTAAATGTAAGAAAGACATTTGTAATGAAAGTGAAATGGGAGAGTTTGACACAAATACAATGATTGAGTTCTTTATATTACACAGCATCACCTTTAACCAAATTAACTTAAATTATACGATAGCACCCAAAAGCCCCAAAAGGACAGAGGGAGGACAGCATACCCGACGAGGAGTCGGAGGATTTTAGAGCAAAAGACCAACCATCAGGGGTCATAGACGCACAATGTGGCAGGCGCAGCTCCACTGGCTTCAGGAATTTTAGTCCATGAGGCCCGCACATTACCAAGGGGCTAAGAAGTGTTTCACCTAGAGTTAAGAGAAAGAAAAACCTGTTACTGATTCTTCTTGAAATACCTTCAGAGTATTACATCATTACACTGCAGAGCTACTCAGCAATGTAGTTTTTAGAAAAAAATATGAACATTTTGACCTGTCAGTAAAGACTACCACTTAGCAAGATTGTTTCTTATAGTCTCTAGCAGAGCACTTACTGACTTTTCAGCAGAACATATCACAATCTCAAAATGAAAGAGGATAAAAAAAGTTCGATGATTAGATCATGTTGGGATTTTTTATTTTTTTTTGCCACTAATTTCTAAGCAGGCATATCAAAAGAAACAAATCCCTAAATCTGTAAGCAGTCTTGTTCATGCTTCTCTTCATGCTACAGCTGCAATGTTCTGCTTGTATGGATTGATGGCACACTGGGCTGAATAAAGCCTTCAGCAGCTCAAGAGCCTGTGACCCTTACCTGAACAGTCAAAAGATAAAGCATACAAACATACAGGTCTATTTTTAGTTTAAAACTCCAAATGTTAATGTCAGATTATTCAGTTGAGGAACACGCTATGTTACTCATGTTTGGTTTATAAAGATTCAGAGTAACTGCAGATTGCAAGTAATGCTCTAACTCCAAATTTATGAAATTAACTACTTTAGTTTCTTGACTCAAGGAAATTAGGTATCTGACAGGTCAGAAAATGCATACACACTGGACTAGTGGTATGAAATACAGACTATGAAAAAATTGCTTAACTAAGATACACTACTCAACCCTTAATGAAGATAGTCAGGAATATGCTTTTATTATATAAAAGTTTTTTTAAATCATGAAGCTGTTTTCTTTAGAGTAACTGAAAAAATTAAAATGCTGAGTATTTTCAAGTGCTGAAATCAATTCAAAATTTACTATTAAAATTTACTATTCCAAATTAACTCAAGTCAAACTACTTTAAATCACGTGCTTTATAATTTTTGTCGTTCCTAACTGTGAGATGAAGAAACATTTCTAGTAAGAATGCCTAGAAAAAAAAATCCCTCCACTTTGAAAGAAGATTCTTAAAAAAAAAGAATTGAGAACCTTCCTTCAGTGCAATAGGTAAGTTTTAAATCAGTACTTCAATCTACAAACTAAATATTCTCAAGTTATAATTCAGGACCTCCATCTTGCTTGCAACTCTCAATATTAAGCAGAATATTGCTTCCCTTTACTTCTTGTGAAACGTATACTCTATCTTCCTATAAAAATATGTTATATATTGAAGCATATTAAGGTGTTTTTATTTTCTAACAGCAGCAAAATAGAATAGAATTGTATTAAATAATAAAACAGTGTACAATGCCAGCTCCTACCTTTCTCTTTGTCCAAAGGTGGAAGTATACTGTTATCTCTGCAGACTTTGAAATATATTTCTTGCTCTATTCCCTCTGGAATGGCTCCTTGTGGTATAATAATACTAACTCCAGTCTCTATGGAGCTCAACACACCACCGTTGCTGTTAAATACACCTCTTGCTGTGGCTACAACAGTGTGTCCATCTTCCTCCTCCTCATCCTCGAGTGCTGAAGGGCTGAATATAAGACAGAAAGCCTAGCGGTTTTATCAGTATTATTTTCTTCCTGAAAGTCCGTGGCATACCTTCCTCTAACATTTTAGCAGAGCATAGCCTAGAGTAGGCTAACACTGATTTTAGGAAAACCTTAAATGGGTCCCACACTTCATTATGCAGGTCAACTAAGTGAAAGTAGTTAAAGTTCTGCCACAAGAAGAGAATGTTTTCACCAAAAAACCTCAAAGCCTACAAACTCTGAAAATGTTCAGAAAGTAGTTAAAGCAAGAATTTGGACCACTTAAATCTTGTGTTTTCAAATGCCCGCTTCTGAAATTATACAGAAAGAGCTTGTGCCAGCTCCACACTTCAACTTAGTAAAACTAGATGTAATTAACATCTGAAAGTTTCTTTTTCCTCCCCAAAGCTCCATTATGACTTTAATACCATAAGGAGTAAATAGTTCTTATTCAAGCCACACTGAACCCTTCTATTCAGATATAGATTGAAAACAAAGCCCATAAACACAAAAAAACCCAAACCACACCCACAAAGTTTTCCCAATTGCCAGGATATAACTAAAGAGAAACATATAACATTATCAAATAGCTAGTTTGAGTAGATTCCAGATCAATTTCTAAAGAATTTCACTCAAAAAACCAGTAATTTCAAAATTTCTAGCAGTCTACAAAACTATATAGCACCAAAATCTTCCCCAGGTGCTTAAGAACAAATAGGATTCATTCTTTATTACACTTCTGAGTTACTGAAACATCAAACAAGATTTCAAGTCTGGTTCATGCATTATTATTTTGAAATCAAAGAATAATAAACCACTATACTGCAAATATTAGTGAAAAGAATTTAACAAGTCAGCAAATAGCTTAAGATTGTAATACTATCTATTGCTCTTTACACAGTTCTTAAAGTGCATTAGGCAAGCACAAGCTGCTTTTAAGCAGTTGTTTTGTCTCAAAGAGAACCAATACGAAACTGCTCAAGTAACTTTCTCTTTTTACAAGTACTTTTAAAATATCCCTTGTACACGTGTACCGTGAGGTCCTTCTCTAAGCACATAGAAAGAGGACAATTTGGTCCAACAGCTATCCTTCAAATTTAATTCCATCTTCTAGAAATAAATTGAGAGGACAAATGATTACTATCTACCGGAAGATTTACAATTATAGTATGAGAAATGGGAAATAAAGCCATGCCACTTTCTAATAACAGGATGCAAGATAATACAGGGACATAGGACATACTGAAAATATCTATCCAAGTACTCTTCAATGCCCTTTGGCAGAATTTTAGAATCATAGTATCCATCTTTCAACTGTAACATGAACAGAAATTGGAAGCACAGCAAAAAAAGCAGCTGTATTTCTCACAGATGAACTCTTACAGATATACTAATAGAAAGAAGAAAACAGCAGCTTACCTTACAGGAATGGCTTTAGGCACAGCATTAACATTATTTGGTTGATATTTAGGCTTGTCGACCTGTACAGCAAAGGTATCCATTCCACTATCAAACTCAGGAGGCTGCGATGAGCCGTGTGCTTTCAAAATTGGTTGAGGAGAATTTGGAGATTTTGATGGCAACTCTGGTTTATGTTGAGCTTCGTTTGGCAAGAGATTATGGTTGAATTTAGGACTTTCAAACTTGCGCTCAAAGGGCCTTGCAGCACTAGTGTAAGGTTTTGTTGTAAAGCGGTTGTAAGAAGGGGTGACTGTTTTCTGAATCTGTTCAGTTCCATTAATGGGGCCTTTGTCAGGGAAGCTTTTCTGAGGATAAAAAGTGGACTGCACAGTGTCCTCTCTAGAGGATCTGAAAATCGCTGGCTTATTCTGAGGTGGAGGAGGGTCAGAGACAGAGTTAACTGCAACACAAATGAAGATACCAGAATTTGTCAGTAAGACAGAAATTTCTAGTCACATACACTATGGCGTAAGAATACATTTTAGTCAAATCTTAACTATATAAAATTATATATATAGACTCAGCTTAGCTCTTAGATCATCCATCCTCCCGTTATATTTTGTATGTTCAGGCAAGTTATCCAATGTTTCATTAAACAGATGCGTTAGACACAATGGTATGACCTTTCAATAAAAAGGTTAGACTGATTCATACCACGACCAAAAAAAAGTAGAAAACCAGTACTGAAATACTATCATGCATTTGCACAAACTGGAAAATTCAGTTGGACTGTGCAGTCCTGTCCATGTGAAAATGAAAACAACTTTCTCTTCTGCTTTTAGAAGCCTACAACTATTAGTCATGCCTAAAGCAGCAGTACTGGAAAGCAGTACCAGAAATTTTACTTCATCTTTGCTGAGACTACTAAATATGGAAGAGACAGTTATAGTGACTATTAACACCTGGACAGGATCACCAAATCCTCTCACAAAAATCAGTCTCACTATAGTAAAAAGCTTTTTTCACCAATAACTATTCCAAGCTTCAGTTAGAGAACAACATAGTTAACCAGTGTAGACATGCTGAAGTAACCACACGAGCACCTGACAAGCGATGCTTGTCAGCACACGAGACAGGTTTCCAACCACTCACCTTCAGAGAGTGCAGGCTTGTGATGTGCTGGGAGAGGCAGGCCAGGACTGTTAATTGACTGAGGTTGTGTATACTGGACTGAAGGAGCAGGAGGAGGAGTTGTGACTTGAGGGATTGGCTCATAGCGTTTTTCACCAACAGGCCTATCCATTGATTCAGTATCAGTTGGTTTGCCCCTGTTGAAATAAAAGAAAAACACATTTGACTGATTGGTTTCCTCAGGGCTCTGAGCTTCTGCATTCACTGCTATTTTTTTTCTTCTACGATCACCTGATTTCCATCTCTTCCTATAAACATTAAACCACGATTTTCTTTAATATCCTGTCTCGAGTATAAAAACATTTATTGATAAGCACAAGAAATTAAGACAACATTGAATCTTTAGAAGATTAGTAACACAAACCATGGCAAACAAAAGGCAGATGACATTTCAGGTGTATTTGCATAATTGCCTACAAGATCTTCAAGTTTCAATTCCATTTGGGGTAATTTCAAAGGAAAAGCATTCTCTAATTTAGGAGGTCTTCAAAATAAAAATATACATCCTTCTTTTTGGGGAGGTGGGTAGGTTCTTTTCAAAAAGCATAATTAGCCAATAGGACAATGGATTCTAATATAACTTTTCTAAATACACCTAGTATTTGAACAATGCCATCTTAATTAGAAACGTAATCAGCTTAAGCTTCACTAGCTTTATGTGCATAGAGTAGATAACTTTAAAATCTTATTTTCAAAACATTTTTCTTATACTAGAAATATTTATCCAGAAGTTCATTACAGGAAATTACTGATTTCACAAATACCTGTAATTTTGGACAACAATATATTTCGCTTACTTTGAGAATTTGTGCGTTTGAAGTTTTAAGTGCACATAATGCCTGTGATGAAATGTAACAGTGAGAGGACACCTGAAAACATCCTCACATCAACAACAGTCTTACCACTTGATGTTCCTTTTCAAGTAGTCATAGCTAGTGTAAGAGCCAAGAAATCTAGGTGATGGCAAAGCAAACAGCAATAGAAGAATGAAAGAAAACAGTCATTCTATCTTGAGCATATTATTTCTTCACAGTTTTTATGAATTAGCAGTTCTCATACAACAAGGTTGTTGAAACAAAGACACCACTTTTAACAGTGATGTTTCTGGTAAGACCTTTACCATATGCGCATTTACAATGATCACCTACTACATTTAATATGAGATTTTGTCAGCAAATTAGGTGGTCAAGATCTCAAATTGGCAGATATTGAAAGTAAGAACAAGATTACATTAAACCATTTGTTACAATCCCTATAAACAAAGTTATCTGATGTACTGAAAAAAGAACAAAACATAAATCCCATATTCTAACAATCTCTCACTTATGGTCCAATTCACATTAATTTCTTCAGTCTTAACATACACAGAACAATGATGGGTTTGTATTGCAGATCATGTAGCGAGGGTACATTCATAGCAAATGTTTCTATAGCACTATCAGCTCATCCAATAGCTGAGCCCACATCATAAAATGCTTCTTCTGATTGTGTTCAACAATTCCTACAAGGACATCTTAGAAAACCTGCTTATGAATGCTAGGAGAGACAGAAAACTAAGTATGTTGATGACTTTCCCTTGATTTTTAACACTTATCTTGCTTATATGTTACAAGAAAACACATTTTATGATAGGTCAGCTTTCCCTCATCCCTTCACTTTCTATATGCTCATAAAAATGCAACAGGCAACAATTCTAGACACAGACAGTCTTATTGTTTCAGAGGAGTGTGTTACGAAACTAAGGAAAGGGCTGATTAACTTTTGAAAGTCTGCTTGATGACCACATGAACGCAATGCTCAGCAAGTTAAACAGCATTCATATGAATGTATCTCTAAAATCAGTGTTGCAAAAAAGATCATTTAATATCTGCTGTATAAGCTTCCATTCTCACTGATTTTATATAAAAGCCATTCATCCAACAAGAGAAGTTATTACTGCGCACTCACTCACTGTTGTCTTTATTTCAGGTGCTTTCTCAGAAAACTGCCCACCTGAAATCACTGCTTCCCAGAGGGGGATATTAAGTAGAGGAGGGCAGCATTGCCAAAGTCCACAGAAAAAACCCAACACACTCCACACCTCATCAAAACTGCTTGCCAGTGTTCTGAGGAACTAAAAAAAATGGGGAAGAGTAGTACATTTTGATGGAGGGAGCAGAAGAGAGCCGTGACAAAACAAACACAACCAGCAAACTTGTGCTTAATGCGAAGCACATTCTTCTGTCATAGGCTCCTGACCAAGTGTCAGCCAATCTCAAGCACATTGTTTAGAACCCATATGCAATGAAAGCAGTCCACAACAAAATGCTTCCTTACAACTTGTGAGTGTATAAATAAATATTGATGTGCTGTTTTCCAAGCTGTTTCCCACTTAATCTGTTTCAAAACTGCTACTTTAATTTGAAATTAAGCAGAAATGAACCACTAGAACAAACCAGTGTGCAACAGGTTACAAGCCTCAGTGTACAATAGAAAACTTATCAAACTGCATTGCTGATCTTCAGTTCCCATTCAAAAAGCTCCAACTCTATAACAGAGGCATAAGAGCTCAGCTAGAGCAGTTTAAGAAGTTAACACGGGACATCGTTCCTTAATGCCTCCTCACATGAGGCTGTAACTGATCACCTGAGTACTCTTAATCCTACTCAGTACAAAACTTAGATAAGCTACCTCATTCTGCACCATGTCAAGTTAATGCAGGTAACTACATTGAACCAAGCAGGAACAAATCCACTACTCTCAGCCACAGGGGTAGTAGTCTCAAACTGCTCCAACTAGATCCACTGAAACATGTCCATTTACAAGTTCTACTATTTCCTCACATCAAGAGAAACTGTTCCTTATTCTACAGTTACTGACAACTGTAACATGCAGATATGGCATTACCTATACAAAGCAGCTTTAGTAATGGTATAAATTTCCTAAATGATGCAAATAAAACCCCAAATTAAGATAGAAAACAAATTTGTACACATGTAATAGGAAAAATACATACTTTCACAATACTTAGTAGCAAAGAACTTTACTGTGTTGGGTTTGCGTGGCAAGGTTTTGGTAGCAGGGGGGCTACAGGGGTGGCTTCTGTGAGAAGCTGCTAGAAGCTTCCCCTGTGTCTGACAGAGCCAATGCCAGCCGGCT